GAGCTGAGCTCACACAACGACATTTGTACACGTACACTCGATTAGATAGGAGGACAACATAGTTTTAGTCGTAGTCGCAATCCTTAAGCGCAGGACATGCACCTCATTTTGGGCAACGATCCTCCGTTCCGCCCACACACACACACACACACCCATAAGCACACGCGCAAACAATGAAACGAAATTTTTGCGCTCTGGCGTCCTTAAGGCAAAATGTAATTTCCTGTGACAAAATACAAAGCTAATCCCCACACACATATACACAGCGTTGCAGCTTGAGCCAAAGTTGGCCAAAGGATTTCTGTATGTGGCACTGTGGCTCAAGGTGGAAGGGTGACAGAGGGAGGGTGAGGGGGAGACTGAGGGGTGGTCTTAGTCGCCACTGACTTCGATACGTGCAGCGAACCATGAGAACTGGACTGACTGAGTTCGTTGTCTTAGTAGGCAGCTCCAGCACAGGTTCAGGTCAAGGCTTTGCGTCTCCGATAGCTGCTTGGCATTTGGCATTTGATGGGCGACCCGGAAAGCGTAGCGAGCCTTATTGCAGGTGCTGCATTGGCTGGAGTAGCTGTTAAGCCAGGACATAGAGGAAACGCTGTGAGACAACAAAAGCGCTACAATAAATAGCCAAGGAATTTCAAACTGGCAAAAAATAAATCGAAAGTTGAACTTTTGTTGTTGCTGGCAAACAGCATCAGCATCAGAATCAGCAGCGGCAGCAGCTGGCAGGACATTTGTCCTGGGTCTGATTGCCATCGCATGTGATATGTATTCGGTCAGGGGCCTTCGTTTGATTTCTCAAGTGTAAACTGCGCCCCAACGAAGACTTTGTGCCCTGTCACACAAATATCAATATGAAATCGGGCAAGGATCTGCCCAAAATCCAAGCTCACCCACCCAAAAACCCAAAACCTCCTATGCTGCCAGGTCACAAATAACCGCAACAGCTGCCACATGCGCCAAACTACTAAAATAGCAACGACATTAATTGAATGGGGCACGCACTAGGCACTAGCAAGGGGCAGCAGCGGAGGTTTTGGAGCGCGCCGCACGCAACGGCTGCAAATTTTCATTATGCTCAATTTTAAGCTAAATTGAAGAGCCGTCACTGCGATTTAAGCAGGTGGAAGCAACATCAAGGCAAAATCAAGCTGAATTCAATAGCCGATTGCCTGCCCGCCCTCACTTGTTGTGGAGCTCCAGTTGCCAGTTTAACAGCCATGCAGGCTAACGCACAGTGGTTAGAAATTCAATTTAATCATCCATTCCATTTTAAGCATTTGCATTGCACACACAAGAATTTTGTTGGGTTTTCTGCTCAATTAAATGTAGTTTTTTGTTTTGTTTGTGGTTTCAGTTTAGTTTCGACCCATATTACAAATTTACGCATTTTGAACTGTTTTTTGCAGAGTGTTTTTAATTTGTTTGAGTAGCATTCGAAAAGCCAAACAACAAATAAATTTGTTGTAATCCAGGATATGCGAAAAGTTTATAAATGATATTTTAAATCTATTAGAAATAAGTTGGGATAGGGGTTTTCAAAGGGCGCAATAATTTAAAATACCAATTTGAAACCAAAAATAAATCGATGAAATTCATATTTAATATTATTCCAGGAATAATACTTATACGAGCATTATGCTGTTTGATTCAAAAATTATATGAAACTTAATTAAATATAAAAATACTGAATAAAACAAGGCTCGCGTTGCACAGTGTAAGTTTGTCGAGAGGCATGCAAATTCGGACACCAGTGCATACGCAGATTGACTGCAAATGAAACTGCAGCAATGTTTCTTGGCTTAGTCGGAGAAAAAGAGAAAGAGCACGAGATTTTAAGAGAAAGAGAAAGAGAGAGAGAGAGAGAGAGGCTGTCTGTTGGTCATTTCTACACTATTGATACGCATGCATACATTGGCTTTGTGGCCCAAGTTCAATACGCTCCACTCCGAGCGAGTATTACACATAACTTTGTGTGGCAATAAGCGTGTAGAATGCCATACAGCCCCCCTGCCCCACCGAAAAATGTCAGAACGCTGTGTCTGTGCTTGCCCTTTGCTTCTCAGCCGCTTTGCGGCTGCCTCGTCGTCTGTCTATCTGTTGCAGTTTGTTATGCCAACTGCGTAACATGACCGGCATCTGTATGTCAGTCAGGGACAACAAGTTGGGCCACGTCCACGTCCACATTCACGTCCAAGTCCACGTCCTCGTTCATGTCCACGTTGCTCGCTGGTCAAAGCAAAGGCTGCGTTTTGTTTGTCTGTCACAACTTGTGGGTTGCCCATGTTGGGCCTGTTGTTCTTGCTGTTGCTGATGCCATTAACGCGTGAATTGTAGTGGCTGTCAGCAATCGTAGCCACATTGTTGCCCAAACACCCATACATACCCACACGCACACAGATAGGCAAACACCCACCCGTACTCCTGCAGGGCAGTTATAAGGGTCAGCCTGATTTTGCTGTTGTTAGTCATCGACTTAGCTATGAAATGCCATTGGTTGTGGTGTCAATCAGCAGCACAGCAACAACAATAGACACCATCGCACGTTTGGCACACAAAATACAAAATTTGCATATTTGAATAGAATACTTTTTATATATGTAGAGTCTGAGCAGTGAATATATTAGATGGCCTGGCATGCATATGAAAATTAAATGAAAGTCCTAAAACTGAATTTATTATGAATTTGAAGTCGCTGAAGTTGTTTAAAAATGCTTTAAAATTGCCCCAAACTAAACTGTTGTGACCACAATTGATCTGCTTTTGAGTATAACACAACATAATTTTAAGCTAACGCAACCACAGAAAAAAATTGGAAAACAGACTTTCAAATTGTCTTTCTATAGAGTAAATACATATTTACAATATTAGTTTAATTAAGTTTGAATTTGGGGTCTGATCAATTTGGCAATTATTCTGTCATGTCCTCAAAGCTGAAGTAGAAACTATATTTAGTATAAGAACAAAAGTCCATTATACAGCCTGGGCAGAGTATAAACGTTTCGTTGTATTATAAAACGGTAGAGAATTGTTTTTTTTTTTGTTGTTGTTGTGGTATTTGGATTGTGAGAGTGTGGCTTGTGGGTCGTTTGCATTGCTAGCCACTTCATTATTTTGTTGCCGCCCATCTGTACCTGCATGTGTGTGTGTGTGTGAGTGTGTGCTGGTATAAGTGTGACACTACGTATTTCTATGCATTCATGCATAATGGCTGGCAAACGTTTACAAAAGCTGCAGCATAGATTTCCGCACGCTGCCATTTGCGGTCCATTTGCGGCCTGCGGGCAACCGGCCTGTGGGCGAGGGCGAAGGCGAGGGTAGGGCCAGCTAAAGGGGGGCTTTGGTTGCCCTGGCGCCGTTAGCATGATTGAAAAACGTGCCAGCCGGATAGACGGGGCATGGCCGGCATGGCTCTAACCTCAGGCCCAATCCATAGCCAGCTGTGGACCGGCTTAAATTGCATGCCATTCTGTGTGCTGTCAGTGGCATTGTATTGTTGTGTGGTTGCACTTAATGTTGTTGTTGTTTTCCTTTCACAATTACGTAATTTATTTTAACTGTGTCAAATCCACGCCAATCGACAGCGATTATGCTGGCAAATTGCAACAATTCCTTGCCAGTCGTCCCAGGTCCCGATTGCAATTTGTTAACGTCGCTCGCATCCGTATAAGTCCTTGCCCCAATGGTCAACCCAATTGCAGAACCAAGCTGCCACTCACTTACCCGCCTAGTGGCTGGTGCCCGGTGGCTCGTCGAGGTCGCCATCGTCCTCGTCGTCGTCGCTCGTTTGGCTGCAATTAACCGCAGTGTGCTAATTAATTTGCTCATAATTGACGCGATTATGTGTTTAATTTGTGAAGCAACAACTGGCGCCTGGGGCAACATCAGGCGACGACCCCAAAACATTCGGGCCATATTCCTTGATGTTACTGCTCCATATTAATGTGCTGCAGTTCTTTTTGGAAAGTCCTGAAGGAAATCAAGCGCATTGAACAGGCATCTTCCACTATTTGTATATATTTCCGACGAATTACTCAGCTTGTCGCCACAAGACCCCGGAACTGTGCCAAATTGAAGGCGGATGTAGCGTTTTGTGGCAGTTATGCTCAGCTTCAACATCCGCATCCGCAACGGCATCCACGTTCGCCTACCCAAGCCAATGTGCGTCGTTTGCCTCAAGCTGATTTGTCACTATTGTCTTTGCTATTTCAATTGCCACTTGCCGCCTGCCGCTTGCTGCTTGCCACTTGCCCGAGGCAACGTCAATCATATGCCAAGAGCATGCAACACTGTCGCACCATTTGACTTCATAAAATGACCTACCGGTGCGGCCGCCGCTGGGCTGTCATGGATATATTCGCAATTGCTGGCCCGGGGCCCAAAAACCTAGTCGCCATGGACCCCTACACCCAGCATTGGAAATCGCACACAAATTTGCTAAAATGCCAAAAACATCACCGACAGAGGCATGCAACATGACTACTGCAGCCTCGGTTGCCACTTTGGCAGTTAATGTAACGCTTCTGCGCAATTATCGTTATGTGCTAAATTAATACCCTGTAATTATATAAATTCTGCTTGTGTTTTAATCTAACCCATAATAAAATTCTACCTCATTAAGAAAACTAACTAACTGAATAATTTTCTAAATTGCTTAGGAAGCTACTTATTAATACTTATTTTACGAAAAGGTTTCCATCTTTTATGTATATATACATATTTACCATGTTATATATACAAACCAATAACCGCTTCTACAGGGTATTTGTAGTCGAGCACAGTCTAGTTGTTTAAGCTGTTGTTGTACTGCTACGGGCGACGCCTAGAAGCATGCAACACTTTTTGCACATCGCACAGACCGAAGCTGCACGTACATACATTAGTGTGTAGATGTGTGTGTGTTAGTGTGTATATGTGTGTGTGTTAGTGTGTATATATGTGCGTGCGTGTGTGTGTGTAAGTGTATGTGTATTGCAGTAGTAGTGTTGGTAGGTACTTACCATTTAGAACATGCACACGCACACTGGCAACATCTGCGTTCGAGGGGGCGCACGAGTATTTGCCGGAATCGGCCAGATCTGCATTCTGTATGAGCAGAAATGAGGTTGTCACATCGCCCTTTTCGGTAATTACCGACACGCCGCCTCTTGATGAATCATAATTAATGACCTGCAAATGGAAGAGCATTACGCCAAAAGGCCGGGTTAGTAAGTGTGTGTGAACGTGTAGGCAGAGTAGAGGAAGCCCCCTCACAGCAGCAGCACATAATGTGAGAACAATGAGGGGTGCACTAAATGTTTTTCTTTGATTTTACTTTCTTTTTGTTTTTGCTGTCTGTTTAAGAACTTTGCTGCTGGCAAATAATAATAAGCAAGTGCCCTTCGCTTGCTTTATTTATTTTGTTTCGAATGTGTTGCTCAAATATCGTATTATTTTTTTGTAATTTTCAAATGCGTGTGACAGCACATTGGGAAGGGGGAGAGGCTGACGGCAGTGTGTGATGCGTAGCAACAGCTGCGCTTGACTGACATTACAAATCAACGACATGTCAGCGCGTCTTGTTTACTTTTCAGTAATGTACTTTCCCTCCCCCGCCAGGCGTCAACCATACAGCCGAAAATGCGTTTAAAATTGCCATTTTAATTGGAATTTGATGGCCGGGCGCATGATTAAAGTTGACTTAACAGAGCTAATATCAAAGGATCTTTAGTTCCCAGCGCAGGGATAAGATGACCGAGAGAGAGGGAGAGAGAAAGAGAAGGGAAAGAGAGAGAGAGTAATAGTTAGCTACAAAAATTATGTTAATCAAGCGGGCGGGGACCAGCTTCGGGTTCACATTGGGCCAAAAGCAACTGGCTCGAACGATGGCTCATTATGATGATGCTGATGGCGCTGACGACAATCTGTGCGATAGTCAGCCGCCCTCAAAGTCAACTTCATTATCGATTATTGTAGAGGGCAGCAGCAGGGCAAATGTCAAATGTCGAATGCTGCTAACAGCGGCCAAATCCAGATGCATATTGAGTCACAAAATGAAGCGAATGCTCAAAGCGCTGACAAAAACAAATACCAGGAATAATTTGCCAATACCAATACACTGAGAAACCTTAGGGAGCAGGGCGGGCACAAAGGGCGAGAGAGAGAGGGTGAGTTGAAGAGTAAGGGACTAAGGGCAGAGCGCAGAGAGCAAGTAGCTGACATTAGCACATCATGCCGCTGACAGCGACAAGAAAATGGAAGAAACAACAGAGCTGGCGGAAATGAGCAGCTGTTTTGCCCCCCTTTCAGAGGTCAGGACAGAGCAGGCAGGGTAGGCAGGGCAGGACGCATAATTTGTTCTCTAATCTCAACTAATCGACGGCATTTGCAATAATATGAAAAATGAAAGAAAAGTTGGCGTCACTGATAATGATGACGATAGGGAAACGTACATGCAGCCGTGGCTGTCATGATTGCCCTAGTCATGGCATATAGCATACAGCTGGAGGTATGAAAATGTGGATAGACATATAAAAAACAATGACAATGCCCGAAACTTTGGCATAACAACTTTGGCGCACAGACAAGTTAAAAGTTTGCCTATCAACAGCTATCGGCGGGGTGAGTGGCGGGAATGGGGGGTGCAGGAACTAACGAAAGTCTGGTTGCCATTATAGTCCATTGCTGTCGTCGCTATCAGCATAAATTTCGTATTTGTATTATAATGTTTGTAGTTGCCTTTGTTCCACCCGTTGTTGTTGCCGTTTCTGTTGCTTGCAAATTGGTTAATGAAAGCGACGGCTTACTGTGACAGGCAGACAACCCGACAGCCCGACAGCCAGCTAACAGACTGGCAGACTGGTAAATACCGAATGGCAAGCTGACAGCCAGTGAATCTGCCTTTGCCGGCTACGTGAATTGGAAAAAAAAAACGTTTTGCGACAGAGCTGCATCAAATATGTACAATTTGTACTACCCACAGACGAGTGCAGCTGTTTCGGACACAAAAATGAAATCAAAAATCTTTTTACCAAGCGCCGCATGCTAAAAATGCGCATACATTCGATTTATGTGGCACTTGCCAACACAATAAACGAGCAAAAAAAAAAAACCAAAGCAGTTAAATGTGCATAAAAGTCTGTCACATTGTCTGATCGGCGGGAGGGCGCAGAGCAACAGGATGATACAATGCAGCACGAATGCTCCACTCGTCGAACGATACTGTTGCCAGTCGCCAGTTGTGGGCGTGGACTTTGGGTAAAGCCTGCTTTGACAGCCAGCTAATAGCTGGCTAAGTCCACTCAGCAGCTCACGGAACTTTCACCGACCGCACAGTTAAGCGCCATATGCACATTACTATGCCAACAACTGCGAGGGCTGTCCAAGAAAAGGTAGTGGTATTTATACCAGTGGAGGGAATCAAATTTGGGCTTAGTTAAACTATTAGCGGCTAATCGTTTTGGGTGCTGTTAAATAACTTAAGGCAGGCCACAATTTACGGCAACTTCATGAGCGAACCGGGCGCCAGACCGACATATGCCAGAAGCCAATGCGGAAATGGCCGCAAAGAGTAGGAAGGCCGGGTCAGGCGAGCTAACACTGAGAGAGGAAATATGTAACACGTTAATTACAATTAGCAAGCGGATGTGCGCGAGCAAAAAAGTGTTGCATACATTTAAGCGCCCGGCACGAGCAAGTGCATCAACTAAGTTTATCCATCCATTAAACTAATTAACAGCAAATTTGCATGGATCGTAAATAATCCGTGTGCAGCATGGGCAAGGACGCCAACTTGGGCTAAGGTTGCGGCAGAGTACACACACACACACCTGCCAGAGGCACACCATTGTGGCGCATGGCGCTGCAAGGATTTTAATTAGAAAATTCCAGAAATACAAGTGCCAGCTAAAAGTGAGCAGCAGCAGCGCCGGCAGCGGCTGCGACTGCAACAGCAGTTGGCAGCAGGATTTGTGCACTTTTAACACGTTGCCAGCAAATTCGCCTTCTCCTCGCCTTTCGCCAAAGTTCCATTTTTTTTACTACATTTTTTCGTTTGCTGTTTTGTTTGGCATTTGCATTGCAATTAGCTGGGCAGTATAACGACCACGTCTAGTACTCTAGCTCTCTCTCCTTCTCTCCCCTATTCTTTCTCCTACTCTTGCTCTTCCTGGCTTTGCTCCTGGAGCGCTTTAAGCGCTTTTAATGCCGCGCAATTAGCCAGGCTGTTTATGCTGCGTAAATCGCTTGAAACTAACACAACTAATTGACGGGCAACAGTGCGCGGGCTAAGCACGTACCGGGATAATGCAACCACCTGGATGACCAACCAGCCTGTTGTTTCCATGTTCAGCTGATTTTCATGTTTCCCTGTTGCTTGTCAGCAGCTGTAAAAGGTATTAACAGGGCCAGTAACAGTGCGTGCAACTGAAGCGCCATTGACCCACTTTCTTGCCACATGCAACTGCGTTGATTTACTCATTAAAATATCAACGGCTGACACTTTAAATTACGTCCGCTACACACGAGCTGAGTCGAGTGCTTCTTCGAATTAAGGATCCTTTCAGCACGGACTGAGGCGTTGGTCAATCGGTGTCAGTTGGCAATTGAAGCAACGGATAAAACATTCGCTATCAGTACAGTTGGGAGCAACAGGCATTTATAGCGATAAATTCATCGACACAAATTCAAGAGATTTTTCAAATAATTGTTCGACATGTTATCGAAATATGTCGATTGGCATTATAATTGTAAAATAAAAAAGAAATAATATTAATGAGCGTAATTTATGACTTCGCTTTTCTTTGATTAAATGTCTGCTTGTTCAAATTAAAGTGAAACGAATAAAATTAGTTTAACAACTGGGCTAACTTGCAGTCATGCCGACTGTCAAAATAGTCACCACAAAAAGATTAAAAAGAACTCCGAATTTTCGGTACAATTGCAACAATAAAGTTTAATTACCTCCTCGTGATGGTACCAGAATATGTAGGCCGGCGGCTCGGGACTGAACTTTACAGTGCAAGTGAGATTTATGGTGCTGCCTTTATCAACGTGAAGGTCAGGTCCGCCAAGTATGGTCGCCGTTGGCACTGTCAACAGGAAGCACCAATGAAAAACGCAGACGAGTTACCGAAAAAAAAAAACGAGAAGAAGATGAAAATAGAGGGGGCATAAGAAGCAGAAATGCTTGAAAAACGTTGTTAAAATGAGGCAGACACAGGCTGGCCGCCTAGGTAGGAGGCTCGGAGGCTGAAAGCCTGGCTGACACTGTAGAATAATAAACTACAAGATAAAATGAAATTATTGTCGTATAAAAACCAAGTCCTCGACGTTCCATCGTTCCCTCCAGTCGACCAGTTGTCCTCGCTCCTCGCTCCCGCCTTCAACCTCGTCTTAGTCCTCGGTGCTGTGCGTGTTGCTCACTCGTTTGCTGTATGTAATTTATTTGCTCAACAACTTTTTTGCTTGCCTTGGTGGCGCGAGTGTCCTTTGGCTTTGTTATTTGCGACAAATGGTTGATTTTTTTTTATGAAGTTAAAGCCAAAGCCAGAGCCAGAGTCGCTGCTCTCAATTCAAGCCCAAACTCGTAATGGGAGCGGACAGTATTCACATACTTAGACTCGTATACTCACCGACAACATTCAGACGTACAAAATAACTGCGAACGGGCTGCGTTGATATCTGGCACTCGTACATGCCCGCATCTCGCTTCTGGGCCCACTTTATCTGCAGCGTCCAGTCGTCGGTGTCCTGATGATGTGTGGCCTGAAACCTCTGATCGGACGTGTACGTATAGGAGCCCACTGTCAATATGTGTATGTCCCGATGCCGTATCCAGGAGACCTGCGCACAAAAAGTAAAAGCAAACAGGGATATTGCACAACATGTCAATCAAATGAAGCTATGCGGTGTCATAGAGCATGAATTATTGGATGGGAATATGCTCGAGTAGTGCGAAGGAGAGTGAAAAGTGTGACCAGAGGCTTTTAAGCTATGCAGAGGGAAAATACGATTATCCGACATTTCGAATTTTATGTTTTCAAGAGGTCCTCAACTTGCTCTTAGATTGATTACCAAAAGACCAAAGGTCTAGCTCAAGATTTTTCATTTCTCTTTGTCCTTTGTGCCTAAAGAATCAACATACCCTCTTCTAGCTTTAGAGCTAACAGCAGCTGAGTATACCAATCCAAAATCTTGCTGTTTATGGCCCGAAGTAAAAAGCAGGCATTAAAAATGCAGCAATTGAAAAACGAATTACCGTCGCAGTGCAATCAAAATCGAATGAAATACGCAAGTGCTCTGCAGGGCTGTTCAGGTCTTTGTTTTCGGTGTCCTTTAGCGATTAATCAGCAGCCATTGCGTATTTTCGTACTGTTAATGGACGCGTATCTCAGTCAATGTTGCCGGCATACATGACGTATGCGCAACGTGATGTGCTGCACATGAGCCTGGGCCTGGGTTCCTGGCAAGTTTATGACCAGGCTGTAATCCTTGAGAAATCTGAGCATGAGTATTTCTAGTGTGTGTGTGTGTGTGTCTGTCGTGGAGTGTGGTTATGTGTGTGTGTGTCCCATTGGGACTGTAGCTGCCGTTTGGGTTTGCTGCTGGTAAGTTTTGAGTTGTTTTAGCTTTCGCTTAATTATAACAAACTTTTTGAGTAGTTGCAGCGCTGAGATATAACTTTATAAGCTGCACGCTAAACAGGAGCTTGTCTCCCCGTCTCTCTCTATCTTTCTTTCTCTCTCTTTCTCCCTCTCTGTCTGACACTTGATATGCACAACTTATAAAGTTAAATGTAAATGCAAAATTATCGCACTTGCCAGGCGCCGTGCTCCAAAAACTTGCGAAAATGTTGCCTACAGCTGCCCTCACGCCCCCAGACCATTGACTATGGAGGGCGTGGCACATTTTGGTGCGTGCGTTTAATTATACGAAATGTTGTTGCATACTAAACAATGGCCCCCACCGCCAACAGTCGGGCAGCAGATTGTGGAGCACCCAGTTTGGCAGTTTTGTGCGACGCATGTGGACCGCAATGAGTGTATAAAAGTGTGAAAAACATGTCGACAGGGGCTGCCATTAAACAAACATTTTACGCAACAAATTAAAGTGTAATTAACAAGTGCACGCTGTGCGCCAACAACAACACACGCACTCGCCTGACACTGTCCCAGTGCATGCAGCTCCCCTTTTTCTGTTCCCCCTACCCGGCATATTAGCAGCAGAGCCCCTAGTGTAACACACATACATGCCACACCCCACACTCTACACCCCCCACCCAATTGCGTACATACACACACGCACACGCACACTTGCATAGCATGTCCTGCTGAGTTGGTTTCGGTTTGTTGTTTGGTTTTCTCGGCTCGGACTGCGCCAAGTGCTGTTGACGCGTGCGGCGAGTGCAATTTTCACGAAATTGTTTAAATAATTTCGCGCTTAAATGCAATTGCAAGTGTTGTGGCAGCCCCATAGCTGGGGCGTGGCCAGCGTGAAAAAGGGCTGCCCGCCCACGGCAGTTAGTCGCTGACGTGTGGCAAAGCCGGTTGCCGGTTGCCACTCGACGCTTTTGTGTGTTGCCAAGAAATTAAAAGTTGCTGCAAGCTGCAAGTCCTTGTGATGGCGCAACTCCTGCTCCCGCTGCACACACTCTAGCTGCTGCCTGTTCCTGCCTCTGGCGCATTTGTGTCAAGTGCTCGGTAGTTCGGCGCGTGTGCTAAAAGTTTGTTGGTTTTTGGCATTTGGAGCGCTGTTTGTTTGCCTTAGTACCGCGTGCGACGCATTGTTTGTTAATGAGCGTTCGAATCCTTTTGGCAAGCTCTTGCTCCTCGCCGAACATCGCCCACCCCAACCTTTTATGCACCCCGCGGCGTGCACGTGCTGCTCCCGGTGCTGCTGCTCTTTGGGGTACTCCTGTGATTAATCGCACTGCGCCACACTTTCGTTGACTAATTATTCATAAACTTGTCTGTCACGCATATTAAAAAAGTTCAGAGCAGCCGATCAAAATTGTCCCGCCCAGGCGGCATCTCCAACAGTCGCACATTTCATTTTTATATTTACACAACAATTTTTCTTTTAAATGTATGTTTATAGAGAGCGACAGTCCTGGTGCTAATTAAATGTTTAAAAAATGCCAAATTAAAAATGTTGCCATACGAGTATACAATTATTTGCCCCAGAGTGACAGGCACTGGTAATTATACCCTGTAATTAGTGAAGTTTGAAGCTGGAAAGCATGGAGGCATCCGATTTTGAGCGTCAATTCTCCATCCATACTCATAATAATATATATTTGGGTTTGTTTTCATTGAATTTGTGTCGTAAATACAGGGTAGCTGACAGTCAAGTGCTTGCAAGTGATTACTCTTGACTAAAGACATATACAAATCTATGCACAGGGTATCTTGCAGCCTAAATCAATCCGCTTTTACTTCAGCGTCCTCTTAGCAGAGAAAATAAGCAGCACGACGGGCAACAACTTCAATGGGAGCAGCAGGTTGCCATGGGAGCTACGTTCTGGCAGGCTGTCTCTTAAATAGATGGGAAAACGTGGCGGGGCGCAATTAAAGCAGATAAACAAAGGCAACAAATGCAATAACAGTCGCGCTTACAGAACAGAATACAAAAATTTCTAAATTTCTGAAAGCAAAACAACTTAATGCGGACTTAGGACGCAGGTCGCGCCCTAGCTGCCGGCAAGAAAAGGTCCTTACTCTCACTATCGCACAGCACGTCGCAGACAATACACAAAACAACAACAAAATCAAAAAAAAAAAAACGAACAAAAAATATGCCCATTTTGTTGAGCTGGGCGTGTAACTAATTAAAAATTTCGCAGTCATGCTAGGGGAATTACATTTCGCCAACCAGGTTGCCAAATCAACGTAGTCAACAACAAGCACAAGAAAAGCTGCGCGCATGTAGAATACTCTAGTAGTTGGGGTTGCAGGTAGGGAAGCGTGGAGAGAGGGAAAGATACACACATTGGGTACGGGGTAATGTCAAAAACTTTAAAGGCTAGGCGGATCGTCACGAACAGCCGAAAAGTTTTAGTCATCTGCCGTGTTCACTCACCGTTTTGTTGGCCAAATTGCGAACGCGGCAACTGAGATACGCGGATTTGCCCATAAGGGCGGTGACATTGCGCGGCGTTGAGGGATCAAAATATGGCTCCATCCATTTGGGATGCGTGTAGGCGGCGGTTGGCATCGTGGCCAGCCCTGCTGGCATTGTAGTCAGCTCATCCAACGAGTTATAGCCCTCGATGGGTCCATGCACGCCGCCATTTGTCATATCTGCAATGAGTTTGCCAAAGCAAAGTGAAAATCTATAAATATATTTCACATTGGAAATTGTTATAGCCACAATTTGGTACTTTAAACCTTTTCTGGCTTTTAAGTTGTGGCTTTAATTTTGCAGAAAAATTTAACTTTTAAAGAATTTAATAAAGTTCGAACATTTATATTAAAAGCCTTTCCAAAGCGTTGCCAAAAACGAGGCTATTTTTATGCCTAATGAAATTTTTATCATATTTTGGTCTTTAAATAGAAACTGGATCAAAAATGAAAGGTAAAAAGTTTACGGATTTCTATTTAATCTTATTTCATGTTACTTTCAATGTATTCTTAATATCAAAATTCCTCTAAAACTTGATTTTAGGTGTTAAATTTTTCTCGTAAACTTCTGCAATTCCTATTTAAAGCAATATACTCTTGAAGACTTAAATTGATAAAAAAATGTTTCTAGCATTTGTGAATTTACCTTTTACTTCCCGAGAGATGAGCTTTGTTCCGAAAATGTCAAATGTGTCTATTTGCAGAGACATACGTGAGCTGGAGTTTCATTTTGTGTAGGTCCGAGTGTGTTTTTTAGTAGTATTTTGTCGTCGCTCGTCACAAAACATTAAAAACTCGTTGACAAAAGTGGAGAAAACACCAAAATAAAAACCAACTAAACCAACTTTTCAGAGTGCACAATTTTGTTTGCAGCAAGCGACAGCAAAAATAAAAAACAAACAAGAAATACACATCTGTGAAAATCAAAAAAACGTCAGAACCTGAGCATGGCTACATGCTTTAAGTTTTGACAGCACTCGTCAGCTTGGAGGCTGGCGCTTGACTTTTGTCATCGGCTTAGTGCAACAAAAAAAAAAAAACGTTGTTCATTAAGCCCGCAGGCCCTGCTGCTAGCGCTGCAGTGGTCGAAAGGTGCACAAGTGGCCACAATGGTAGCCACTGGCAACTCTTTAGTTTCAATTTAGAAATGAACCACCGAACCACCAAAAGAGCATCAGTGAATGCGGGGGCAAATGCATTTGAAAACCGCAAGCAGCTGCAAAAATGAACGCACGGGCAATGCAAGGGGGATAGATATACGCTGGGCTGGGCACTGGTAGTCGGAGAAGGAGCAGGAGCAGTAGCGAGATATGTTGGACTGTTGGCCTGTTGGGCCAGGCACGGAGGGCAGCCTTCAAGCGAGTGAAGTGTTTGCGGTTGGCAAGTACAAGTGCACACACACACACATACACACAGAATAAAAGGAAATTGTGTCACTGCTTACATCACGAGGCAGGCAAAATCTACTCACACAGACACACACACATAAGCCACGCCCACGTGGGCAAACCGCAAGTGACTGTGCGCGTGTGTGTGTGTGTGTGTGTACATGTGTGGAAGAGTCGAGCTCATGGTTATGCAAAATATTTGCACTCAAATCATATTTCAAGGATTAAAACTTGCATTCATTCAAAAACTGTTTTTCCACATGCACGCCTTCAACACAGATACACACGCGCACACACACACACATGCAGATAGGGTCTTACGCACATATACAGAGACACATCTATGGCCGCCCAACAACTTCGGCTTCATTAAACAAAAGGTTGCCAGCATATGACGCGCATTTGTATGCATGAATTGCCGGCAAGAAGGCGGCATGGGGCGTGGCATACACACGATAGACGCTTAACCTTAATACGCTTAATACGCTTAATACGCTTAATACCAGTGGTAAGGAAAATTGCACAAATTTTATGTAAATATTGCATTCAGTTTTAATAAAAATGCAGCCCGCAAAAGTATGCTACAGATTCTGCAAAAATCTCCAAACAACGATGCAACAGCTTTAAAGTCAAGCAGAGCTGTTGGGCATTAAGCGCTGGCAAAAAAAAAAAAACAAATTCAATTGCCTCAGCTGAATGTGCTTCATTTCAGGCCCATGTGTGCCAGTGAGTGTGTGCTGGCATTGAATGTGTGTATGTATGTATAGGAAGGGGTGATTGAGTGTTTGCTTAATCATTACGTAGGCTCGGCACGCCTCCTGACTGACTGGCAGACAAAAAGGCAGGCAACCAGTCGGCCCTTTCATACAATGACTTTGCATACTTGCGTTTAATTTGCGAGGACAACGCGGCGGGTGGGTGGAGCGACATGGCGCGTAGCAATTAAGGAAACTTTTGTAATTTCCCTGCTTTCATGTGGGGCATATTTTCTATGTTCTGCAAGGCAAGCTAAATAGTTGTGCTTTGGGCAGGCAAAAAAGCTGTATATGAAAATAATTTTTGGGAATTTTTAAGTAGTTCAGAAAAAGCTTCTTAGCCTAGAAAAAAAAGTCATACCCTATCTTATTTTAATATACGTTATAATGGTAGGGTATTCTGAAGTCAGTCACTTAGTTCTGTTGGTACAAGTTCCTTGGTTAATTTTGGGAATTTGATCCTGTTCCTGTGAAATGATGCGTAATGTGCAACACTTTGAACCCACAGCTCAATGAATTTCGAACCTAGTAATTGCCTGCTTATGGAGGTCTCAAGCTCGAGACGCATTTAATTGTGTTTTATGGCATTGAATTTGTAGTCAATATCAGCACACTTCATTGGCTTGTGATATCTTGCGTCTGTGTGTGTGTGTGAGTAATTAAAAATCAACATGCGGCGCCAGAAATTGACCTGCCTTGTGGGCAATGTGTGCCTGGCCTTGCCATTAATTTGCTCCCTAATGCAGCATGACGAGCGCTATTCTGATTGGACTTGGCTTGGCTGGTCGGAGCACAGAGCAGGGAGTGGGCCCCGTGTGCATGCCAGCATGAATAATGATGCCTTTTGACATTGTCTAAGTAGTTTAATGCGTGGCAACATGAGTTGGCTGGAAATCCAGCCCACAGCCAAATACTCGCAAGTTGCCGATGAGCTGTCATCGGAGCTAAACTGGACGACACGCTGATTGCCACTCGAGTATGCATGCGGCACGCAATCGGCACCTTGGCGACGGCGGCGGCGGCGGCTGCGACGGCATCGACGGCAGCTGCTGTTACTGCTGGCAACCACTTAACCACTCAACCACTCAGTTACTCATTTATTTATGTGCTGCGCAATGCACTGCGCGGCTTTTGTTGCCAACATTCTACGTTCTTATTCAGCGCCCGGTGCTGCTTCTCGCCGGTTGCGGCTGCCGTCTTAATTAAGCTTAAATGATGCTGCAAAATTTATTTCATTTCGCACTCGAGGCTCGCGACTGAACCTGAACCTGATGTGGGAGCATCTTCTATACGAACGGCATGCATATAAATTATCCAGGCAAATTACATGGCACATGGCGAAAATTGAAATGTGGCTACTGTGACACGTGTGTGTGAAGGTGTGTATATGTGTGTGCGGGTGTCTGAGTGGAATGGCCTGCAGGGGTGACACAGCACAGCTGTCATATTTGCTTCATTCACATCTCAGCGTTGATTATTTTTAATACTCTTCACTTAAATGCTACAATCGGAAAATACTTCAATTGCTCGCACGATTAATCCATGAAATAACTCGTTTTCCATTCTATTGTTCAAAGTTTTTTAACTTTGTTCTTACAGTTTTTAAACTTTGTTCTTACAGCTTGCGGATATTTACAAATTTAACAATTAATAAGGCATCGTCCATTTATATTGTTAAGCAGATAGCATCATTGATATGTCATATACGTAACGTATGTATTTATCCTAAAGCTGAGATCCTGGCACGCCTTCTTTACCCAAAGTATTAACAGATAGTTCAGGTTTTATTATTTAAACACCTGTTCAAACTATAAAATTTAGTAGAATTCTTTAAGTTTTAAAAATATATAAAGCATGTTGCTTGTTTCTTGGTATTCCAAACCCTTTGAATGAAAAACTCAGAGGTATTCAGCAGTTTTTCGCCTTTGTCTTCAGTCCTTAGACTTTGTGTAACTTGTTATCCTTAACGTTGATTGACAACATTTTTGCGCAATGCTTTTGTTGTTGCTGTTGCCTGTCTTCTTGTTGTTGTTGCTCTTGCTGTTGTTGTTTTAGTTTGTTTGTCTTTGCATAGCCACTTCGGCTGACAAAACATGCGATACGATGCGACACGGCCCGACAAGAAGCACAGGCAAGAAAAACACAGACACACACACTCACACTAACATACATAGCTCTTATTATGAAATATTCGTAAAATTTCATACAAAGTACAAGCAAGTGCCATGTGTGTGAGCGTGCGTAAGTGTTGTGCGAGGCTGTGAAAGCGAAAAACATAAAATGAAGTTTACTCCACACAAGAAGTTGCCTGATTCTGACTGGTTAGCTGGTTGGCTGGTTGTTTGGCAGACTGCCTGAATCTGGCAGGGCTTATCACCTCTGGCCTTAGCGCTGAAGCTTATAATGAAGCATTGTTTGTTGCACAAAGTTTGGCTCGGAATGAAAACAGCAAGAAACCAGGCAAGAGCCAACAACAAGTCAAGTCTCGAAGAAAACCGAGTCTCTGAGCATGTGTATGTGACACATTGTAGGCATGTGCGGGGTATCTGGCTGCTTGACAAGATATTAAAATAATATTTACAAGGACTAAAGTGGTGCGTATAATGCATGAGATGCCGTGCAGCCACATAAGACCATGTCTTAGCAGACAGTCTCAAGTTTACAGGATAATAAGCAGCACCTGCATTTGAATTTGCCAATGTGATGACCTGATTAGAGCTGACCTTTGCCCTTCTGTTATTGTTTGGCATTTTCGACAAGGTCCTCTTGTTTATATTAATGATCATCATAGATTTTCCAATCACAAACTGTAATCCCTTGGCCCCCTAATGGCAACTAGAGTCGTTATACGCTCAGCCCTGCTGCCATTTTCCGGCTCACATTTTCCACTCTCAACTTTTCTCAACTTGGCTGTCTTTCTTTCTTTCTTTTTATTTTGGGTGTGTCAATGTGTTCGGCAGCCAGAAATCAATTCAATTGCTTGGAAAAGGGTCAAAAACGCCGCTTCAGAATGTCACTTGGCAATGGATTTTTTGTC